AATCATTCTGAGTCTTGTATTTATTCATTGATCTCAAATTACAGTGAATGATTTCATTGATGTGGATTGGAATCCGCTTTTTACAAATATTGGTCACGTTGAGGTACTCGACTTGTGGGGGAGACTATTTTAGCTCTCTATATGTATATTAGATACGGAATCATTTCAGATGTACTGAACCTGCATGAGAGGCCTTTGACTTCATCAACCTTTCTTTAAAATGTACTGAACCTGCTTCGTCATATAAGAGGCCTTTTGCATCATCAATGTTACCTCAAGTGTGAGGTTCTAAATTCTGCTGGGAATTCGCGAGCCAAACATGGACTTTGAAGCATTGAGGTGTACTGCATTGAGACGTACTGCATTGAGAAATGTATTAAATATGCATGATTTGTTGAGTCATGTTTTACAATGCTTTTTCTTTCATACAATCTTTCTTAATGTTGTAGCATGAGTAGACTGTTTCATAATCTTTTACACAGGGTGAATGTGAAAATAGCACGTTGGGGTTTAGTAATCTTTCATAGGAAATGTTAAGCTTTAGTGGGTTAAATCTTGATCCTAGCTTGAAAGTAAAATAATGCAGTATCAAAACACCTGTCCCTTTTTGTTTCAAATGCAAATCAGGTTAATGATTATGATGGTCGATACAAAGAAATATTTTGGAAAGAACTAACCATTAACAAAAGGAAGGAGGATTAAAACTCAGCCCATGGAATCCTATGTATGATACATGTTTTTAAAGTTGATGAGGCTGTAAGGGTTAATAACACTCCAAAATGGATATCAGGGGTGCAGAAAAGCCCCTCTTGAATTATGATTTACCCTCTTCTGATCCCAATTGCTCTTATATTACCTGACTAAGCGGGGTATATGAGATTGTATTCTAAAGAGAGAGCAAGAAGTCAGTGGAATATCTATTGTTTATGGCAAATGGGGACAGTGATGATTTATGATGTTTGATATTTCTAGATCACTTAGCCCCTTGTTTGTATACAATAAAAGCAGTGATTTATAGCACGGTACATGAAAAGGTACAATGTACCTCCTTAATGGCTATTCCCATCCCCTTCAATTCAGATGCTAGATAACTCCTTCCATTCCCCAAATCCTCGTATTTCAATTGCTAATCTGACATTGTCTGATACTGTTCATTTATCTGTCCTCTTCTACTTAACTTCAGGAGACCTTCCACAAAAAAGAAGTCACTTGTGGTTATAGGTGAAAAATCTATATGTCAGAGGTTCATAGTATCTATTTTCATGTACCCAGGCCAATGGCATTTTTGAAAGTTTGTTCGAAGATGTCTGTGAGCCACTTTGGGCTGTGTGTAGTTTTGTAGCTTGAAAAACAATTTCATAAATAACTGTAACTATAACCCCAAGGGATATATAAAAAATAGAACTGTCTCGTATGAATTATGGCAATGCACTAGATGTGAGGCCAAAGATATGTAAGGCAAATATTGCTAAATAACGATGAATAAATAAAATTACAATGATTACAGATCAGTGATCAAGAATAGTTGGATGCATTTCAAACAAAGTGGCGCTAAGTGCTGCCATTACAAACAGGTTCAGGGCTAGATGTAAAATGAGTGTTTTTTTTATCAATATTCTTGCTTAAAAGTGCACTAGCATAAAGGAGATACCATGCAATTTTTTTTGCAATTTGTCCTTCTCTGAGTGTGCTGGACTGCACGGAACGTCTGTAATCTTACCTTGGGTTGTCCATTACGTTCATCCCCACTCACAGATCAATATTAAAACCCAGATTATTTAGTTCATCCCTCCTTCCATCAACTTCTCACTTAACATGCTCTCTATCTCTACGCCGACCTTTCCTAGTCTTGGAGCTCAATCTCGTATTCTCGTCCACGGTAGAGACTGGAGAGGGAAGCTCTTTGCATCAGGGTTAGGGAGAGATTGTGGGATGTAAAACTATGTTGAGTAGTGTCTCAGATTGTGACATTTGTGATGCTTTTAGAGTGCTTGTGAGTAAATGGCGAATGTCTTACAGCAATTTAACCATGAGATAGATTAAGAAAGAGAGAGAGAGAGAGAGAGAGAGAGAGAGAGAGAGAGAGAGAAAAGAAGAAGCAAAGAGTCAAGAAAATATGAGAGAATAGGAAGAAAGGAGTTAGGGAAAGAGAAAGAGAGGAAGATGAGAAAGAGAAATAGAGAGAGAGAGAGAGAGGAGAGAAGCAAAAAGAAGAAAGGGTGATGTAAAAATATAGAGAATCAACAAAAAATGCAATCAACATGAATGAAAATTGTCATAATGTACAATTTTCAAAAAGTTGGTATTAGTCAACTTGCCAATGGATATTTAGGGCTCAATACCCCCAATTTCCTCATTGCCTATATCTCAATGTCCTGGTGGCAATCATACATTCTTTCAGCGAGCTCAAACAACTTCCATGAATGCAAATAGAGAGAAATAGTCTTTCTAAAAAGACTAGGCATCATCCACACCAGATCATCTGTCTACCACAGGAGGCCAATTTAGAGAGAAAGCACGTATCCGCCAACGACGAAGAGATGATAATTGAAAAACAAACTTTGGCGTTATTTGTCCACTTTATGTAGAGCGATAAAGAGAGAAACAGAGGAAGAGAGAGAGAGAACTCTGGCACAGAACGTTTATTGATGATATGTTTGCATGTTTGCCATATCATTCTCGTCTCCTCTTATGCAATTAATTTACTTACAGGAGAAATATAATTGCTTTTTATGTAGCATTTACTGAATCATATTGATTTCGTTCTTCTCTACTCTACAGGAAGAATAGGAGAGAACAGTATTTCTGTATATGGGTGTGTGTTTGGGGAGGGAGGGAAAGGGAGAGGGAGGGAGGCGGAGGGAGGGAGATGCATGCGATTGCTAGAGTTCGTATTCTGATAACTTATTTTATCTTTGTTTTAGAGGGGGATATTAATCGAAAAAAATCTTTAGCTTAAGCTCTTTATTAGTCGATGGGCTCTGTCACAGTGGCAACTTTAATGATGGGTAGACAGCATACGCAAACACCAGCGAAATTTGCAATTTACAGTTTGTTATGCCAATAAAAATCACTAAAGGGCAAAATCTGATGTATGTGGCTATTTTGGGTTCCATACATTATCAAGAGGAGTTCTGAACATAAATAGACACGTCATTTCACTTTGTATTTGGTCTTATCTTTACTTTAGTAGGACTATAAACCTCATATAAACCCTAGATGTAGTCAGTAACGTATATGGCACAAAATAGCTACTAGCTAATATCTGAGATAAAATAATTGTCAAAATGCCACCCTAGGTATAACTAATCCAATTTCCAAAGAAAATATAATCCTGCTATTTAATGCATCTGGCAAGTCCAAATGACTGTATCACTAAATTGAAAAAACATCTTATGTGCAATTCCAATATCCATCTTTTTTATGGTTCAGAGGAGATCACATTTGTTATGGCATCCACATTCCGGATAGATCTGGTCAAATTGCCAATGCTATCAAGCTGATAATGAAATTTGAAGAAGCATATTTTGTTTTCTCATTTCTTCCTCATTTATTACGACGACGGAGGTTCTAGCAAATTTGATTGCCACAAACTAAACACAAAAATGAATTTAATCAAGGGAATGATTACTTTTGGTCTGTGAGGTAATTCCTATCAATTTACTGGCTTTGAAGGCAGATGAAGCCAATGTAATAAAGACCTGTATTATTAGCTTCCTCAGCTCGCATACTTTGCCTTTCTGGATGTCATCGAACTATGGATTTTGCTTTTTAAAAACATCAAATACTGTTTGACAGTCTGTCATGTATAAGTAAATGAGATTGAGCTTAAAATGTAGCAGTAGCTATATGCAACTTCCCTGAAATATTAAAGGGGTATACTATTAAAGGTAAAGGCCAGTATTGGAAACGCCCCAATTTCAAAAAATGAAATGGAAGCTCTCATTACCAATCATGTGAAAGAATATGTTTTGACTAGTACATGATGATAAAAAATTTGCCGGGAAACCGCCTACTAATTCATATACTTGGTAAATCTGTTTCTCTCATGGTCTGTGAGAGAGATATAGGGTAGTCCCATATACATCTTTCTGTGTTTAGTGCTTGTAACTTTACGAAGAATGGGCCAAATTTCTTATCATTTTGATGATTCCAGAACCTTAAAGATTCTAGATGCTAGATGATCAACCTTTTCTGATCGATTCCACAACGTTTCTTTCACAATGCAATCGCATGACCATAACTGGTCTTTACCTTTAATAGGAAAATAGAGTTTTTTGAAGCTTTTCCTATAACTATGATTTTATGGTATTGTAAGGTTTGTTATGACCTACTCAAATGCATTTGAGTGCACATTCATAATTGTATGCTTTTTTCATGCATTAGGTTTTTGTCCATTTGTAAAATATCTTGAGTAATGAGGAAGAAAATCACTTAAAGTTTGGAAATGGTTATTTATATGAATTCAATATATAGCGTGACAAATAGCGTGATAAAGTGAATGAGGAAAAGTTGTTGTGGCTACATAAAATAATACATTAGTAGGCTGTGTATTAGTGCTAGGTGAATGTAAGCTGTTTATTGACATTAAATCTTTTTGCCATCTTAACCACTGGAGTACGTTCACATCTCACTCAGATTGAGTTAAGACTGGTTATCTTCGTAGGTCATCAAGTATGAAGGAGGCTCATTCTGGTAACAATGACAGCTTAATCTTTCGTAAAACAGTTAGATAACACATTTATAAAGTCAGTGAAATTCATGTAGGGAGTTGAATGATGTTATACCCTGTCAAAAACTTATGTATATGGTATCAACCATATTTGTATCTTAACATGCATGTAAATTTTGTGTTTAGATACTAATAGTGAATGAAATGCGGGCTCTATATTCCAAGAAGTCTATCTCCTGTCCTTTTTAATGCTGATCATTAATAGTCCATCTTGTCTTGTCTAGTCACACTTTACTATCCTTTCTTCATGTTGTATCTCCCTATACAGCTGTGAACATCCGCTTCCCTCGTTTCTATGGCACCTCGTACCTCTCAATACCGGTACCCACCTCCAAGCTCTACCAGTCCTTCTACATAACCATCTCTTTCAAGCCGGAGTCTCTCAATGGAAGGCTATTGTTTGCTAGTCAGGAGGAGGATGGCAAAGGGGACTACATGGCTGTCGGTCTGGTCGATGGAAAGGCTGTCTTCAGGTATGTTCAGTTTTTTTTACTGTTTTTTTTTTCTTCAAAAGAAGCTATATTGATAATCTGTTACAGCAAAGCCTTGAAACTGCTCAAGGGAGAAATGAAAAGTGGTCTTATTATAAAGCAGGTAGTCTTTATAGGGTTGTATGACATATGTTCCCGCTTTGTGTACAGTGTCATATATTAACATTGATATTAATTCCTAACTTTAGGACTAAACTAAACAGTATGCCCAATCCTTACACTAACCCTAACCTTAAAATCCAATTGCAACCCTCACCGCATTCATATAGCTTTCACGATATAAAGCCCAAAGCGAATTTTTGCTGGAGCAAATATTGACCAATCTTTATGTTCATTTTCCACAAATTGCAATGAGAAACAATATGTATATAAAACAGAATAATGTGGTCACTGTAGACAGGTGGCCTTCATATACAGGTGGCTGCTAAAGCAGGTTTCACTGTATTAATGTTATCTATGGAGCTTCTTCTGTTCATATTATATTTTTCTTTCGTTTCTTTTTAATATTTTCTTTGTAATTTATGTTCCCATTAATTTTTGTCATTCTATTCATATGGTTAGTCATCTATAATGTTTGTCATCTTAAGCTTATCTATAGTATCACAGTTTATCATTTTGGAGGGGAATGGTTAGTTTAAAGATTTGTGAAGAATTGAATTTTTCCTTTGTGAAAGCCGCCTTGTCAACTTCAATATTAAGGCTTCCTTTGTCATGTACAATGTTTCTTTGTTCTTTTGTTAAACTTTCACCTATTTATCAACCTGTAATGTTATATAAATGTTCTTTCATGTCATCAGTCAAGGTTTAGTTGTAAAGTAAAAATAAATTATTGATCTGTAAACTCTGTTAAACTACATTTGTTGAATGGTGAAAAACCCATTTTCACCTTTGCTTGTAATAAGAAAAAAAAATTGAGGATTTAAAAGAAATGAGATCAATCACACCCCCGTTTCAAAGGAACCCTTTATTCTGTAAATCTCTAGAATGACTTTTAACAGTACCCAATTTAATTTTGTGGCTTTAGCCTCAAGATCAATACCATTCTCGTATCATTGTGGTTGCTAATCCCATTCTCATGCCTCCAAAAAGCAATCATAATCTTTCATATCCTAAATTCTCACAATAGGAAGATTTCCACTCAATGTCATCTGATTATTTTCTATCATAACATGGGAGTCAGATCTCCTTGTTGTGGATTACAAAGAGCTTCTGCTTAAAAGTCACCCTTTCGAAAACCTTACAGATCTTTTACAGATCCTTTACCTTACAGACAATATCTTTCTCTCTCTTTGCGATGAATTATTCAAAGCCTTTCTTTCTAGAGATGGTTTGTTACTTACTTTTGTCCATTTTGAAAATTGCTTGAAAATCCTTACTAAGCTGTGATGACCTTTGGGGAATAATGTTTTTTGTCTATCCTTCTGAGAGAATCACAGAAAGTACCTTCTGTCGTTATTTGTCATTGCACTTAGTAAGGATTATACCTACGAGCAAGCCAACAAAACTAAAAACATTTTATATAAAATGAAATGTTCAAGTCTTCTGACATTTATTCAAACAAGACCAGGAAATGAATTGTAACAAATTGACAGGATAAACTGATCAAATTCTGTTGGACTGTATTGTTCAATTACTAGAATAGATCATTTTCATGTATGCTTCTGAGAAGATGGAGAACGTACCAAGCTACCTACTTTAACACCCCCATTCCCTTAAATGCCTTTTAGCAAGAAGTGTATACCTGTTCCGCTTCTTCATGATAGATGTGTCACCTGTATCTATTGCAGATTGGGTTTATTACCCCTCCAAAGAGCCTTTCTTACTCCTTCAAAAGAGCCTTTATTACCCCTCTATAGAGCCATTCATTCCATCTCATTCCATCTCATAGCCAAGGTTAACAAACTATTCCACCTTAGGCCACTGTTATCTATCATTACCATTCTATCATAATCTGGCTCAATTCTTTATTATAATCCCTGGTATTAACTCCGATTGATGTCAAATTGTGGTATCTTGACTCATGAAGAAAGATGGTGTACCTTCATAATGGATTGTAATTATGATGGTGCCCAAATAAATCATGGATTCACCGACTCAATACCCAACAGTGACATACATTTCTTTTTGCAATATGGAGGTGGTTGGATTTATGTCCTGTCCTGTAAAGTCAGGTGTATATATACCATCCTTTGTATCTTCAGCCACAAAGGAATCAGAAATGCAAAGTCCAGTAGTTGTGTGGGTGTTGTGGTTTTAGGGGGAATATCCTTTTTTCAAAGTTTGGGGCAAGTTTGACAGATGTATCTATAGCATTGGAAGAAGTTGATAGTATAGAAATATGTGGGTGTTTGGGGCATTGAAGAGACATCATGACTAATCCACATTTTTATTCAGTTATACAGCTTTTGGTCATTCATTGTCCCAGTTCCATTATTCAGAATTCTGAACGTTTGGTATCATGCCTGATTGAATTATTGCATTGTGGGTCAAAGTGTACCCCCTCCTTGAAATCAACTACTGGTATAGATTTTCTTTCTTCATTCAGTTTAATAATAATCGATGATGCAAATTTAGCCATGTTTAATATGTAATGTAAAAAATTGGCTGAAAGCCAGAATGCATTATATGTATCTGTTAAGTTTATTACCGGTAGTTAATTTCTTACTTGCCTTAAACAAATAACCCATAGGTTAACCCAGTTATCGAATAAAGAAACAACACAGAAGCAGACAGGGTACATTATGACTTTCATTTAGAGCATAGACATTGATGACATCATGAAGACCGGACTAGAACATGATGTATAATAAGTAACATAGGCTTGTGTGTCCACATCATCTCTGCCGCTCTATTAACAGTACTTTAATTGGATTTATGCATTGGTAACAAGCCTACCTAAACAAGATGGGCTCCACGACCGACCAGGATTTATTGCTTGCTTTGTCATCCTTGCATAAACTGAAGCAGGTTGAATTCAATGTAAATGACTTTGAATGAAAGGCTGGTGGTGATAGTAGCCGCACAGTTTAATGACCAGCTTCCGTTTTGATTCATAGAACTTGCAGTAATATGAAGCCATTTAATTCAATTTAGAAGTAAAAGTTATATGAGCAATACAAGAGGAAGCTAACTTATTTCCATGCAAAATCATATGTTTAGTTGCACATTCAAAATAAAATGGATTATGGGGAAAGGAGCTTCATTAAAATTTAATCAGATTCCATCACATATGCTAGTGAGGATGTTTTGAGGTAAATATGTTGATCATTAATATTTTGTCCAAAAATTGATTGAATAAAGTTTGCCAATTTGTATGGGTAAATAGAAAAACATAAAAATTAGTAAAGTGAAAAGTTATCTAATATTTCTATTAAAATTTGATATTTACCAATATCTCTGTTTGGAGCCTGAATGGCATTAACTCATATCACTTAACACAGAATTAACGCCCTTCTGGCTATAAACAGATAAAAGAAGATTTCTAATTTGGAGATGGGTAGATAAATCAACTCAGAATGAAGTCTTAAATATATCACATCTAACTTGTATATGATTTATGAAGTATGCCATTAAAACAACTATTTTATGTAAACTCAGTCTCACATTTAGAGATACATGTATGTAAAGATGAGATATCTCTTTGCTAATGAGCACTGAGATGGTTTGAAAGGAAGACAAACAGAGAAGCTGATCAATAAAATGTGGCTCCAAGATGGTCTGCACGTGCTGCATGCACGTCTGAACCCAGACGAATCGTGTAGAACTTGGGGGAAAGAGTCGCCGCGATTCCCGGAGTGTGTTTACAAATTGTGCCCCTCACGCTTGATATCTTAATTGTGGAGAGCTGGACGGTTAGCCAGATTTCTTTTTATATCTCCCTCTAAATGACTCTGAAACTGGCCTTGGATACCTCAAAGTGAATCAATACAATCAATCTGTACGAATTTGTAAAGAGATTCTATTACACCGTCGTCGGCCTGCCATAAAAGTGTTGGATTGGTGAGGGTGTTTTGAGAAAGTGAGAAACTTCAATTGAATTGACTTTTTTTTTCTGCACCTTCAGAGTTTTCTGTAAGTGGGTTTCTTGGAATCTTGCTTTTCTTCAACGTAATACAATATTCTCTTGAAAGTTTTTTTTAATGTTTTCTTCATCTCCGTACTCTATCTATCCATCTCATTATCACACTCTATTTCTCTCTCTCTCTCTCTCTCTGTCTGTCTTTCCATCTCTCTCCATCTGTTTGCTTTCTTTCTCTCACTAACTCACTAACTTCTCTCCTGTGTCTCATGCAAAACATAATACAATGAATAAGTATATTACAAAAAAAATATACAATGAAACGACAAATATAACAGTAATAACAAGAGAAAAGAGGAACTAACTAGAAGCAGAGCTTGTTGAAGTATTCATCAGATGCTGTTTTAAGATATATCTTGAACAAAATATACTTAGAAAATCAATAAATTAAACCTTCCACTTCTTCTTCTCGTTCTTTTTGCTTCTTCTTCTCCTCCCACTTCCCTTCCTCTCCTTCTTCATACTTATATACAAGCAATATTTATTATCATTTTTTTATATAATTCTCATACAATTGTTATCCTCTCTTGAAGGTTTGACTGTGGTCAGGGAGCAGCCGTGATCACCAGCCGGACCTCTATCACCCTCTACAAGTGGCACACTCTCAAGATCGGTAGAGATGCTCGTAAAGGTTGGCTCCAACTCGACGATGCTCGTATGGTCAGGGGTTCCACACCGGTAAGTCATCATAACTCCCTCTACTAACTACTGGATAACCATGGCAACTAAAGTGTTCTAAGAACATCAGGAAAATTGAGACATTGTCTTATTAGAAAGAAAAGGAAGTTTTCATAGATTGCACAAATTATTATTCAAATGATGTATAGAAAGCACTCCTGAGTAACTCCTATACAGACCTAACTCCATGTATCTCAATGTTAAGCACCAAATTGTTTGTATTCTCAACATCGTGCTGTTATTCATGAGGTTGTGTTTCCTACAATTTGGCAGAGTACCTTCATTTCTCAGAAATTCTAGTGTACTTTTGAAGTTGAAGGTGAACTTTCCTATGCAGTTCCAAAATTGTAATTTTTGTCAGAAAAATAACCTTGTTCATGAAATATGACAATGTGCCATTAGGTTTAATGGTAGTATTGATTAATTCAATGTGAAGGACATGGAGATAGAATTCCAAGCATAATGTGTCTGTTAAGAGCCAAAAGGGTGTTAACTTTCTGTAAAAGTATGAGCTCATGCCCTTCTGGCTTTTAACAGATAAACTGTTGAAATTACACAATACTGATGTATAGATCTGACCTCCCATTAGTTTCACCTGTCACGTTTTTCTAAAGCATGAATTCAACAAATGATAGTACGTAGGAAAATTAAAATTCACAGTTTTCCTGTTTTGGGCAGCTGACTGGGAGTTAAATAAACACCTGACTATTTCCTGTATAAGGTCACTGCAACTCTGTGAGTCACTGTTATAAAAACACAAGATATTATTGTAAGATTGTAGATGTAAAAAGTACAACTTATTCTGTGGAGTAGCATGAAAAAATTGTTTTCTATGCTTTATGTAGTTTCACTTGCACTTCAGAGATAGTATGAACGTATTAAATTTAAGTTGAAGAATGAAATATGGAGTAATTAATGTACTTTTTTTTTGTTAATACCAGAATACCATAGAATTTCAATATTGCCTCAGATGGGCATTTTTCAATTTAATTCAATTCAAGACTTTATTCCAGACTCGACTGCAAGAGCAGAGGTCCATATAACGTATTTACATGAAGATATAAACAATTAACAAGAATAAGAGGGACACATATTATTAAAACTGACATATTTACATGTAGATATAAAAAATGAACAAAAATAAGAGGGAACACATACAGATATAAGAGAAACAAAATAAGAGCTTCTAGATAACAGAAGAGGTCTACCTATTTTGATAAAACCAAACTAAATGATTAAATACAATTAGAATACCACCCTTGTATTAACTTTTCAAATGTTATTTCCTTTTTGCACACAATGTTTAATATACAGGGTACGTTTTCCATGGTGACTTTGAAGGGAGACCTCTTTGTCGGAGGGTTCAACACCACTGCAGAGGTCCGTGATGGTCTAAGGATCAAGCACATGTTCCAAGGTTTCAAAGGATGTATCGAGAGCATCGACATTTCAAACATGGACTTGGATCTTAGGCCTTATCCCAAGGGTTCCATGCTTGGAGGACAGAATGTTGGTGAGTTGTTAGTAACTATGACCTTTCACCTTTGACCTAGCTGCTAAGGTAACAATGACCTTTGTTGTTTGAGACCTTTGACCTAGTTCACATGGTAACAATGACCTTTGTTGTTTGAGAGCATTGACATTTTTAACATGGATGTGAATCTTAGGCCTTATCCCAAAGGTTCCATGCTTGGAGGACAGAATGTTGGTGAGTGCATGGTCAAGACATTGAACTTTACAAAGCAATTGACCTTTGACCTCATTAACAATAATCATGGTAAGGAAACAGACTATATGTTAATCTAGATACCATTGATCTAGTGATCTATAGAAAGGATTGGGATCGACCTTTGACCTCATGGCTTAATTGTCAGGTCAGGGGACAGTATGATGATGAATATAATGATAAAACTGAACTTCAGAAATCATAAGGGCTACTATGACCTCATCCCTAGGGTTAGAGTTTTATATTCATTGTAACTTTGTTGTTGTTTGTAATTGTCATTGAATGGAACATCTTGAAACCTTGACCCTACCCATGCAGGTGAATGCAGTGATGGTGTATGCAAGCATCATGTATGTACCAATGGGGGAGCATGTATCGGCAGGTCACCGGATCAAGCCATGTGTCTATGCCCTCTTGGAACACACGGCTCAGTATGCGAGGATGGTAAGTCAAGCTCCCGGCAGAATCAGTTTATATCATGTAATAATAATAATAATATTGGGTTCTTGTATAGCGCTTGTATCTGTCAGACTTGATGCTCCTGGGGCTCCTGATTAGTACCCTGGCTTTAGCACTGCTGCCATTACGACGCTCTAGCATTTTTAGGAATTAATTCCTGCCAGGTACCCATTTACATCACCAGGGTTGAGTGTGGCAAATGTAGATCAATGTCTTGCCAAAGGACATTAGTGCCGCGGCAGGACTCGAACTGCGGACCTTGTGATCAACAGTCTGGTGACGAATCCACTTGACCACGACACCTCTATGCAAGAGCCATTTAATCTTTATCAAAAAATTATTCAGTAGCGACCAATAATCAATTGATAATCAATATTGCATGACATCTGGCCACCGACTAAGGGTTAGCGAATGAGTCACAAGGTTATGACTGGATTCATTGACTTGTGTGACTCCCTATTTCAGTGCCAATATTTGAGAGTATATGAAGGTAGAAAATCATGACTTCCTGTTTGTGAACAGTAACCATAATGTATAGATAGCTATCTCTACCAGGGAAACCCTTTAATGTTGTTAACTTTTATATTATTATATTTCCCTTGATTTTTTTTTGTTCTTGCAATTTGAAATTTCCCTGATTACATGTATGATTGTGAGCAAACATTATGATCCAACATTTTTTTTATTCTGATTCTTGTATTTCCTGAAAGAGAAAAATATAGTTACATCAATATATATTTGCCCAAGAATCCAAGCCTATAAGTATTACTCTACCATGCATATCTTTGTTTTTATATACATTTCTGTTTATGATCTGTTGAATTTGTAGCAGGTTAAAAGCTTCTGCTTAAAGAAAAAATACAAAATAAGAACTTACTATGTAATACCAAAGTACATGAGCGTACTTCTTAACCCTTTCATTCTTATTAATTCTCTAAGTCAAGAACAGCGTAGCGCACCTAGGGTTCATTGCATGGTATTATAACACACATATCAAAATGTGAGATATGTGATGGTATATATGTCTAGAGATCAAGCCACACACATAGCAGATCACACACATATGTGATTAGAAACACATGCTTGGCCCATTTATTTTCTTTTGATTTCACCTCACTCGGCCAATTTATTAATTTTGTTTTGATAAAAGGTAGATTGAAGTTCATTTTACCCTTCGAGGTATGCTAGTACCTCACATGTGAACCAGATTTATTTATTTCTTTGCCAACTTTCAAATGTCTGTTATTCTTTCTTGCTTCCAGTTGAATACTTTTTCTGTAGACCGTATAATTCCACCCTTCATTATTTCTCCTATAATCCTTGTTTCTTGCCCCTTTTTCCCTTCTCTTCTTATTCATCTATCAATATGCTCCTCTTGCTGTTTCTGTCTTCTTTTTTTCTTGTTTAGTTGCTTTTTCATTTCTTCTTATTTAAATTTTCTTTATTTAAACTTTACCAGCCTGATTTTCTCTCTATTTATCTATTTTATTCCTGTGCTTTCACATTATGCATGCATCTCTCTCTGTCTCTCTGTCTCTCTCTCTCTCTGTCTCTGTCTCTCTCTCTCTCTCTCTCTCTCTCTCCCTCCCTCCCTCCCTCCCTCTCTCTCTCTCTTTCTCTTTCTCTTTCTCACTCTCTCCCTTCCCTCTCCTATCATCCCTTTCCTGCTCTTTCCTTCTCGTCCTCTACCCACTCTTTCATATGTCTTCCCTGGTTCTATCTATCTGTTCTGTTCTTCTCTCCACCCTTCTCTTCTTTTTTCTCTTTCTTCCTTTCTACATGAATTATAGATTTTATTCTTGTACTATCCGTCATTCTTTCTCTGGCCTTCAATCTTTATTTTATATCAATGGGATTCACACATGACCTATTATAACTTCCTCTGTTACCCATCTTAATTAGCTGTAGATTGATAATTCAGTGTACCTTTAAATGCCTTCAAGTTCAAGGCCATACTGTCTACAACAAATATTGCACTTTGCTACGCACAGCTATTTTATACATGTATATGAAAAAAGAATATGTTGTTGAAATAATAGCTAGTGTTTGGGTTGAAACAATGAAGGTCATACAATATTGAAGGGTTCTAACCAGGATGCACTCAACTACCAATTTACAATTCATGATTTACAACAGTCTCCGGTAACCATGCTGACGTCCTTCGTGTCCTTGGAATGCCAAGATTTTGGAGGAGGAACCATCTATTTCCAAGCATTCTAATAAAAAAATTACTCAAATCAAGTTTTCATACAAAAGCATTCTTATCCATGCTTAGAAAATATATACCAGTATGTTTTTATTTCATATCACACGGTGGTCTTAATATGTTTAGAGTAAGGCAGGCACATTGATTGTACATTATAAATGATATGTTTGATACTAGGCGAGGATAATGAATGCAAATTGTAAAACCCTGATTCAATTCCAATTGCTCTAGATGTTGTTGAAAAGAAACCGCACATTGAGTATGTATCACTTTGATAGGAACAAACAAGGCAAATGAAAGAGGAAATAACATGGCTCTATACCAGGGAATTTAGCTACAAATACTTGTTTGCAAATTAATAGTTAAAGGTAAAATGAATTGTACTTGTTCTTCAAATGGGGATTAATGATAATATAGATGCTCCTTCTGATGTAAAACAGATCATTACCCATTCAATACATTCCAATAGTACTACTTCATGAATGTTTTGTTAACACTGATCTGATACTCTCACCCAATAAGCTGAAACATAATCTAACCCGCTTTTGTATCTTCGTCATTCCTCAGTCTGCCCCCCCCCCCCTAGCTCCGCTCTGCACTATTGTGTCAACAGTTCTCTGATGAAAATCAATGAATCATTAATCTTGGATGTGATTGACTATCAATATCCATGTTTTTATTCTTTACTGTGTCTTCTACAAGGTAAATGTGCTTTGATTCAACCCTGGGGTTGTGGAAAATGATTATTTACTACTACGTCAACTCATTTTATTTAAATTCAATGCAATTCAACTCAATTCAATTCATTTTGTTTCAATTCATTTCAGCTCAGTTCAATCCCTACACACATTGTATTATCCATACATTGTATACCAATCTGCAGAATACATCATGAATGGGGAGGTCAGAATATATACATGCGTATTGAAGCAATCCAATATATCTGTCTAGATTCATCAAGCCTCTTTGGAATACAAGAAAGAAAAATGGTTTTTACCCTGACCTAGAATGTTGATAGCAACTGATAGAGATACAGCAAGCAGTTGTCAGGGTGGTGATTTTGAGAGCTCCTTTTGAGAATGTAATTGTAGGTGATTCATGTAAGAAGGTCTTATTGCAGACGGCAGAAAGAAAATGATTTAACCCTTCAAATCCCATGTAATTGTTCTGTCTAGTGTCACTTTGGAAGCTGGTACATATGCATGAGCAAGATGAAATAGGTGTAATATAGCTTAAGACTTGATATTAATTTTTTTAAAGAGAGATCGTATCAAAATTGTCAAAGTAATATAATGAGGAGGGGGAGGATGATGATGGTGATGATGATGACAATGCTGATGATAATGAGGATGATGATGATGAGGATGATGATTATTGATTGTGAATATAGCTTATACTTGTTAGTATTGATGCAGTAAGAAATAACATGCTTAAAACTTTTTGAATTATCTTTTATTGTACTGCAAGCAATTCATTTTTGTTTTACAGTTCACTTTGCATTTATTTTTTACAAACCAATGGCGTAATGGTGAAGACAAGATCTTCACAATAAATAAATGACATGAAGCCTTCTCAATTTCTTTGACCGAAGGATGTTGCACACATCCAAAGAAACACAAATCATGTTCAAGCATATCATAGTCAAGTGTGAAGTTATGTCTTTCATGTTCAGTATTCACATGGACAACCTTTAAACACCACGAGCATGGAATGGAATTAGGTTAAGTCACATTACTCTATTCATAGGCGTGTTGACATAACCAGTATCGTTTGTCCCAGAGGCTGAATAGCTGAGAAGAAGATATTAAAATACAAAAACATAAATAGGATGTTTGTATAATGTGGAGGCGAGGAAGGAGGGGGTGGTAGAGAGATGGTATTTAGAAAAAAGACCAGTACACCCCCCCCCCTCCCCCCTCCCCACATTAGAGATTCAAAGGATGCCCTTTGTAGTTGCTCGTTATGTTTTCATCAAGCTCCTTATCTTTACTCAAACGCGAGCCCAGGGCCATTTGGTAGATGCAGTCCTTGTGGAGCTTGAACTAATATACTCATGTAGCGTTACTGTGGCAACACGAGCATCATCATACATGCGTTTTCATTTCCCCAGGCATGCCATAGAGACATAAGTGACTGTTGAGCCCTTGTGCAGTCTGCTTGTGGTGTTACATCTGAAGATGAAGCGAGCTAGCTATCGTAAAGGGAAATAGTGCAATATTGAATTCGGGCAGGTGGATTAGCTATTGACAAGTGAGAATTAATGTTGCTTGTGAAAACAGTTTGATACATTAAATCATCCCTCGCATGCTTGAAGATGTCAAGTATGTTAATGCAAGTTAGCAACCTGCTGACTCTTAGCTATTGATAGGCAGAAGCATATTGCAATGGATTTTTTTTTTTATTATTGATCTCAAAATACTGCAAGCGCAGAAAAATGAGGAACATGTTCAGCATTTCATTGTATCCAGGTTTCTAGAACATATTGTTTTCTTTTCTTTTGGAGAGAGATAAAGAAAAGAAGTTACAGAAATGTTTTTCATACCATTCTATCTGTCCTTGAGGAAAGAGCAAGTAAAAAATAAAATAGGATATATACAAATTGTGTTTGAGGAAAATGGAAAATGCCAACAAAACAAAAAACTCCCAAGAAATGATACAGTTAATGTGCTATTGAGCTACAAATATTGTATTATCTGATGGTTACATTTTTACTCATTGTATGCTAATGAGAGTGTCATGGTTATGGACCATGTGAGTGTGTGAAAATGTGTCTCTACTCCTGCTTGCTACTGTCCTCTATTCTCTAGCTCTATTCTGCATGTTGCTTCTGTTTATAGTTCAAAGAAGCATCAACAAAATCCTTTATTTCATCGGCTGAGAGAACTGAAATTGAATTATAAACCTCAGAAAATACTCAAATGATATACACATGTTGTTGTTGTTTTTTTGGTTAATGTCAATCAGTCAAGAACTGACTATAATCACCAATGCCTTTCTTTTTTATATTAATTTCCATCTTTCTCTTTTTTCTCTCTTTTTAAAATATATAATATATTAAATATATTTCTTATTTACCTCTTTTTCTCTTTGCAGTAATTGAGATCCACACCCCATCGTTCAACAGCTCCCACTCCTCCCACATCGCCCATGACTCGCTCGGCAAGAAGCATCTCTCCTTCCTCCAGATGGAGATCATTTTCAAACCCAAGGAGCCGTCTGGGATCCTCATCTACAGCGGTACGGAATCCAGGGAGGGGGACTTCTTCTCCATCACGCTGGATGAGAACTACATTGGCTTTAAGTTTGATTGTGGCTCAGGGCCCGCTGTTTTGAGGTAAGACATGGAGTGAGTGCAAAGGATTACTTGAAATGGTAGTGATGATGATGATGGTAGTAGTGAGGCTGGCGGTGGTCATAGTGATGTTGCAGGTGGTGTTGGTGTTAGTGGTAGTGGTAGTTTTTATAGACCATCTAATAAATAAGTGTACTTTTTCATCTTCAACCAGATAGAGGGATACTTTTGTTAATTCTTATTACAAAAAAAAAATGGAGGGCTGCTCACAAGATGAAATACATTATTCTATATGTTTAATATAAAACAATTGTAAAAATCCATATCTCTAATGGATTTCCCTTAATTTTTTTTCTTCATAAGTTTCTCTCATATTGTGCTTTTATTTAAAAAAACTTTATATCTGGCTGTAATTTTCCTTTGTATTTTAAGAACTAGTCCCAAATAAGATTACATATATAGCTTTTGAAGCATTCAAATTAACATGTATTTCATTGTCTCCCTCTATTGTCTGCAGATCAACCCGGCCAGTAACACTTCATAATTGGCACATTGTGGAGGTATCCAGAACGGCCAGAGAAGGTATGTTGAGGGTGGATAACCAACCTACGGTTACAGCCTTAGCCCCTGGAGCCTTCACGCAGACATCGTTTGATACAAACCTATACATCGGAGGCATTGATGATATCGACCTCCTGTCCAGAGAGATGGCAGTCAAGAATTCATTCAGTGGAGATATCCAAAGGGTGAGAGATAGTCAGAGATAGATGGAAGAGATGAGAGTGAGATCTAGGAAAGGAAAATTAAAGGGAGAGAAGGAGAGAAAGAAAGAGAAAGAGAGAGGATGAGAAATAGTCAGAGATAGATGGAAGAGATAAAAGGGAGATCTAGGAAGGAAGGAAAAGAAAGGGAGAGAAAGAGAGATATTAAAAGGATGAGGGATAGTCAGAGATAGAGGTGTGAGATAAGAGTTAGGTTCAGGGGAAAAGAAGAAGAAAGGGAGAGAGAGTGACATCCAGAGGGTGAAAGATAGTTAGATACAGCAAGATAGGGAAAAGAAAGAGAGAGGGAGAGAGAGTGACATGCAGAGGGTGAAAGATAGTTAGATACAGCAAGATAGGGAAAAGAAAGAGAGAGGGAGAGAGAGTGACATCCAGAGGGTGAAAGATAGTTAGATACAGCAAAATAGGGAAAAGAAAGAGAGAGGGAGAGAGAGTGACATGCAGAGGGTGAAAGATAGTTAGATACTGCAAGATAGGGAAAAGAAAGAGAGGGGGAGAGAGAGTGACATGCAGAGGGTGAAAGATAGTTAGATACAGCAAGATAGGGAAAAGAAAGAGAGAGGGAGAGAGAGAGAGAGAGAGAGAGAGAGAGAGAGAGGGCAAGAGACAGTTGGAAGCAGAGGAAAGGAGAAGATGAAAAGTTTGAGAGAGACAGAGAAGAAGGAAAAGAAGGAGGAGATGAGTTGAGTAATAGCTTTGTTTCTCTTTCTTGTCTACCAAATAGGCACTTGTAAATAACAAATAAATCTCTCATTTTTTCTTGGGATCGGAATCAACAAATGATTGTCATATGAAATGTATATAAAATGGAATACACTGATATTATATACATACTGTATGTCTTTCATTGATTTATATAATATCCCTTTTTTTTTTCTTCTTGCAGGTGTTAGTCAATGATAACGCGTTAGATCTGATCAATGAGGCCGTGGGCGGGGCTAATGTCGGTAACGCCCACCATCCATGCCAGGGGCGGCCATGTGGTTACAATGGAGAGTGCCACCCACTTCAGGAATACTACTTCTGTGATTGTAGACTAGGCTTCAAGGGAACCTACTGTGAAATAGGTCAGTATTGCAAGGGTTATATGTAGATTTCCTTTCTTTCAATTATGAGTGCTTTGAATTGATTAAATTTAGAAACTGCTCTTTTTTTCAGAGCATTTTGTGTAAACAAGTGATATAAAAAAAAACTAATGTACTGCTCAAACAAAGTGGTGATCATAGGGAATTTTTCATTCATTTTTTTTAATTAAAGATGTTTTACAATGAATCAAAATTCACTGTAATGTATGTAACCTCTTTATATACTGGTAGTGCTTTAAACAATTACAATTAAAAATTTACAAACAATTACTATGGTAGACTACTGCTTTGTGATTTCCTTTTGGACATGTGAGTTGATGAAATAGGTGATCTAACAATATATATATATAATACTTTTGTGTATAAAAGCATCCTATGGGCCCAGGAAATGAGTGAATTTTCACGAGAAGTTTGTCCTGCATATCTCACTCAAGCTCTTTCTCCCCCTTTCTTTCTTTCTTAAAAGATCTTAACATGTATCTGATTGATTGTGCATATACCTGACTGTTCTCTTTCATTTCTATATGTTCTCATGTTCTTTTGCTTATAATGCAGATTTTTTTATGTGATTTTATAATTTTTTGTGCAAGTGCGCCGGGAGCATTTGATTTCAAGTGGATTTGATGCTTTACAAATCTCACATATTATTATTCATTATATCTCTCTTTGTCTCTCTGATATAGAAATTGAAGAAACTGTCACAGAACCTAGCTTCATAGGAAGGAGTTATCTCTGGTTTGCCAGTAATGAAATTACTTCCAGGTAAGACTACCCTGTTTTAGTTAGTTAACACCTTATTAAACATGTCTGTATAGGATACTTACCTTACAAACTGTGTTTCATTGCATAAATGAAAGTAGAGAGAGCTGCTGCATTCATTACATAGCATCTACGTAATTAACTGTCACCTAGCATTCATAACTTGACTATTCTTAATGATATGATTTGCTCTTTCCCTTCTCTCTTTATTCTCCCATTATTTGATTTTGCAGTGTATGTCACTATCTCTGTCTTTCTATCCATCTGTCTCTGTCTCTCTTTCTCTCCTCAATCTCACTTTATCTCTTACCATCTCCCTTCTCCGAGACATTTCTCTGTTTTCCAATGACTGTCTCTCATTTACTTTCCCAACTCTGTTTACTTTTGGTAGTCTTACATTGAATATTGTGAATAATGCCAGCTGTGCATGACCAATGGAAAATTATCCTAATTTGAAACACTGACCAGGAATGTTGAATTTGTGAGACATTGTAGAGCAAGTGCCAAAAGCTCCCACCAGAGACAGACACCGGTGCTATACAAGAAAAAAAAAAAAATCAATTTTTATTATCCTTATTTCTTTTACTGGTAATCATGAAATGGCCATGCTGTATAAGTCATTATTTGGTGGGGTCTTTTCTTCTTCTTTTTTTTTTTGGGGGGGGGGAGATTTTTGCAAATTGTTTGAGCATCATGAATTCAACAGCTTGCAAAATTTAGCTGGTAATACATTTGCAAATATGTACCATGAGAAGCCTGTGTTAATTATTAAGAAAATGAAACTCGCAAATATCTGTTTCTCTGTCCTCCATGGAATTATCTTTACACAGACTATTGTTATATACAGTAATTCATCTATTGACCATCATATCTTTGCAATGTATATCATCATCTTACCTCTCTCATTTGCTTTGCAGATTGTCAGGGGAGAGGAACATGTTCTCCTTTGAACTCCGAGCCACAGAGCCCAACGGTCTGGTCCTATGGGCAGGTCATTCCAGTATGACCTCAGGAAGTGATTTCATTGCTATGGGCCTTGAAAATGGCTTCCTTTTACTAAGGTAAGTGACCAGTGCCAGACATTTGAGGTGACATAATGAGGATATTACAATTAAGGCTCTGAAAGTCTTTATTGTCCGATTAAAAAGAAACCATAAGACTTATAGTATGGCCATTGTATACACAAACTTTTGCTCAGTTTGGCATATCAAAGTGTCCATTCTATTCCTGTTTTAACTTCCAAATAAGGAATTAATGTTTGCTTTACTACTTGATGTGCTTCTTTGAAATTCAAGTAGACTTTCTGACATTTCTTAAAATATGATATCGTAATGCTTAATGTTTTTGAGCTTTAGCTTGGATTTGACTTCAAATTTTGGTCATGAAGTTTGATTTAATATATTAACCTAAATTCAGTTTCAGCTTGAATTGGAGTTTTTGCTGTCATTTTATTTTGAATATGAAATTTTAATATCAAACTCAACCTTAGAAAAAGACAGGTGAAGAGTGGAAAAACCTGTCTTATCAATCAGGGGTCCTGTCAATGACAGAGAGAGTTCTTTTTTTTAGAAGGAGTTTGAAAGTAAATCTGAGATCAGTTGTGACAAGCTTGAGCCATATCTCCAGTGAAGAGTTTAATCGAGTTGAGATTGAGGTTGAGTTTGCATTTCAATGTGGAGTATAAATTGTATTTTGATGGACTGATTTAGTATATATAGAGTTTGATTGTTATTTAGATATTGGTCTCAACTTCCTTTTGATTTAAAATATAAACCTAAATTCAGTTACAGTTTGAGTTTGAGTTTTTGCTGTCATTAGATTCTAAATATGAGACTTTAATATCTAATTCAACCTTAGAAAGAGATAGTTAATCCTACTGATTTAGAGTTTGATTGTGATTTTGTAATTATTGTGAATATCTTTTTGAACGTTCCAGATTTAACCTTGGAGGAGGGGAGGCAGTCCTAACAAGCAGGAGACCTGTCAACGACGGGGAGTGGCACGTCGTTAGGATAGACAGGCTAGGCATTGTGGCTATCATGGAAGTAGACAACGACAATGCAGTCACGAACCAGGCCAGTGGAGAAGACTTCAGGCAACTCAATGTCAATGATGGCTTATACCTAGGTAAAGTGATCTAGTGTGGATTATCTTCATATTGTGCATGTTACTACATCATTTAGAAATCGCTACTTTTGCTGTTAGGTCTGGCAGGTGTTACCCATGGTTAGAGTTTTCCTTTAAAGAGTTAATCTTACCTGTTACAAAGGACCAAGTTCAACTCTGTTGATGAATTGTCTTGTCTGGGAACATTTGCACCAAATATAAAGGGGTGCAAAATATGTTGAAACTCTCAATTTAAGATTAGATGGATGAAGAAGTTTAAAGTTTGAATTCAGCCAACATCTATCTTTCCTTTACACCAACCTTATAAATCTCTCAAACATGGAAGCTATGATTTTGATCTTTTTTTTAAAGTCTTTTTTTTAAAACTAATTTGAATTTTTTAGAAGCTTCATTTTCTCTCACAAGTTCATGGGCAAATGCTAAAGTTGAGCCATGAAATTTTCTCATTACATTTTCAAGTTATAATATAGACAATGTTGACTAAAGACCCGTCAAAAATACATAACCCTTGAGTTGTAATAACAATACCTATGCCTCCGAAACTGATTTCAACCTTGTATGATATCTCTTGTCTAACCGGCCATCTCCTTGTGTCTTTGATCTTGCAGGTGGAATGGAGGACATGGGTGAGACGACAATGAACCTCTACTCAGAAGGCATGACAGGGTGTCTCAGGAACTTCAACATTGACCAAAGTCTCAAGGTCTTATCAACGGAACAACCCGACGGCGGCAGGAACATCAAACAATGCTCATAATCCATCCATAAAAAAAGAAAGACTTTTTTCCTCTTCGTGTCCAGCGGCAACATTTTTGTATGGCCCAAGAGGGCGAGAATTCAGTCGCGTCTTGTCGCACAAGCTGTCCATAGAAATGCATCTGAATTCTGACGTTGACCAAGCTCTGTAATGATTTGCTTCAAATATATGTTCCAAGTGTTTATATGGAAAGGAGATCATCTTTAGTGAGTCAAGGCAAGGCAGTGACGTGAATACATTCAACCCTGTCCAAATTCCCATGGTAATGGCAACAGTTCAAAATGACCATCATTAATGGAGTGACTTTTAAAGGGAAAGTTATGTCACATATCCGTCAGTATTTTTGTTTGATCTTGGTGGGAAGAATTCCTGCCATTTGGGAGATCCATCTTGTTAGTCACTTCTGTAGAAGAGCAAGTTTTAATGACTTTAATCCTCCTCATATTGCCAACCAGATCAATATCAGTGTCGACTGTTATATTTGAATTATTGGTAGTATTTTTAAGACCTTATATTTTTGTCAGGGTAAGATGGCTGTAGTACAGAAGGCTAAATTACAGTCCATGTTTCTTTATATTTTCTTTCATTTAAATCTTATTATAATGTACAATATTTATATCAACAAGTGTGTAAAGAATTGTTATGAGTTACAATGTGTCAGTTTAAAATCTGCATCTACAGTCTTGCGTAGGAATTATACTTGGATCATCATGACCAGTATATAAAAATTGCAGATGAGGCAATTGAAAACCATGAAAAGATCAGTAGTAATAGTAACATTTTTATCATTTGGAAAAAACACAACTGAAACGAGTCTTGATCGCCATTCTTGGAGCCTGATTCATTTTAGCAGACTTTTTAACGGCAGAGTTTCTACAAATACATCAAAATCAACTCAAGACATCTACATAATGGTACTATATCTCAAAACAGTACTGTTAGAGATCTTCTCTTGAAACCACCCCTTTCGTCTCAATAGTGTGTTTTTTTGTAAGGCTTTTCATTATTCTACTTACATCTTGAGAATCTGAATTTGAAACTTCAATTTATTCAATGGCAGATAGGTTTTTTTGTATGTGTGTGTCTGTAGGCTGAAGTCGAAAGTCAGGCATTATTATGAGTTTTGTAGTTCTACACTCGCCCACAAACATATTTCAAACAATCCTCACTGTCACATGGCTTTCATTAAGTTGAAATTTGTATTTTCCTTTTTTTAAGATAGTAATGGTCATAAGAAATGCAAAATATCTTATAAAAATTATCACAGTGGAAAATCAAGTGAAAGGATAGTTTCTGGATTTTTATTTTAATCTAAGTTTTAAAATTTGAAAGTACTAAACATTTTTAAGTATTTATATGTCATATGTAACTCATAAAGTTTGAGAAATATGTCAACCTCGAGTTCAAGTAATTTAAAATGCCAAATGATACTAAATAAGAACAAGTAGTAAATGCATTCCATTAATGACGAGTATTTCAGTGAGAAGGATTTGAAAGACTTTTAAAAGCCTTTTGATTATGTGACAGATTTCTTGTTTTATGTTTATGATAAGATTTTTTAACAACGTTCTTATGGATATATTATTAAAAGTTGTGAGGGTCATCATTTTTATGCATATTAATCTACATTTTTAATGAAATGTGAAAATAAGACAGGAGATATGATCAAAAAGTTGTTTATTGTTGGAAAAAAATATGTTCCTCATTTTGATTAGCTTTGACCTGATTATCATTTGTTAAAGGAGCATAAATGATACACGGCGTGAAATTTCAAGAAAATATTTATTTATGTTTCTTTATTCTTTTGTTATCTTGCTGCACATAATGCTTCGGACATATATTCCTTCATTTCATTAAGTTTAATTGTAAAAGTTGGAATTGGTACTTACATGAGAACAATTATTAACTTGTAATCTTCTTTTTTTAAAGTTGTTATTGTATCAGTTCTACAAGATGTTTCATATGTTCTCATGTACAGCATTATTTCCCTTGAATTTATCAATGAAATTCAAACTTTCAATTGTGGTATATTCCATGCCTAGTTGTACAATGGTTTTGTACAGCAAAATTGTATGCACAGCAATAACATTTCAAAGGTTTGTGATAAGTAATGTCACTACCTTTCCATTTTTTTTTCAATCAGAAATATTATATTATATTTAATCAACTCATTTGTATTATTGAGATGTTAGGTGTAGCATGTATATAAAATGTGACACATAATGCAAATGATATATGTGTATGATTGTATGTATGATCGTGTCTTTGTTTATTACTCATTCAATTTGCCAACCTATAATACATGTACTTGTATCAAACTTAAAAGCCAACATTTTGACATCACCGTGCCTTTGGGAAGATCATCAATTGTATTATACTTCTCTTTACTAGACAACAGACAAAAAGAAATCAGTATCTTGATTTTAAAGCTTCATTGTATTATACGTGTTAACTATTATTTGCAGAAATTTCTCAGCATTATTTCCAAGATACTAGTATGTTGCCAAAAGGTAGAACAAATGGAAACTCTAGAAATCAGGTCCAGTTTAAGTACAATGCATTTTTCTGCTTTGTTTATGTTTATGGTGAAAGTGTAGCGATTAAACAAAATATTTTATGATTATTGTAAAAATGAAAGTTCATAGAAAGACCATCATTTTAAGTGAAAGTTGCACATCTGGGTATTTTTATTGACATTGATGGCACTTTTAGATTGTGCTTTCCCAATGAATTATGTATCACTTCTATATGATATCTTAGTGGTTAAGTATTTTTCATTTTATTGAATTCTGTAAACCATCATACTTTTAATTTAGCTCAAAGGAAAAGACAATTTTTAAAACTTTATCGTAGATATAATAAACAATCCCTTGCCATACATTCATGGGTGAATTGTATTATTGGGTTAGATAGTTTGTCAAGAAAGTTGTTTAGCATAAAAAATAAAAGTCTTTCTAATAACTATAAGTCCATCAGTAATAATATCATTCATAAAATTTGAACTTTGTTGATGTATCTGTATACATTTGTTAGCAAGAAATATCTCGATTTAAATCTATGTTTGCTTCCTCAACCATTGGGAGTATCAATTCACCTATTTTCTGTGATTGAATTTTTTTTTGTTAATATAGTTTTTCTGTTATGAATTTCATCAGACCCATAGATACTCTCTTTATATATGTAATTTCTATTTGTATTGCATGTGTTTTAATATTTTTTTTTATTAGATTGGAAAAGAAATCTTAAAAGACCCCCCAAAATTTATATTGATCACATCCTGTATACTATACCTTTTGTTCTTCTCATTGTTTTCGATGTAACATACAATATATTTGCTTTTTAAGAGTACACTGTTGTCTTTGCTGTGTATTTTCGTGTATGATGGGGTATGTATTGGATACTGTAAAATCAGAAACCTTTAAGTGCATGAAACTTTGAATAAACTAAAATTATTTTACTGCATTGAACTTTCACAAATCCCAACCGGTTTCATGCAGCAAAATACAGTGAAACCTGTATATAGAATGCTCAAGTGAGAAAAGAAAAGTGGTCTTTATGGGCAGATGATATTTATGTTGAGGTTCCTTTAGTACATGTTTTAACTGAGTAATGATTTTCACGGGATACAAACAAAATTGGTCTTAATAGAGAGGTAGTCTTTCTATGCAGGTGTTCCCTAAAGCAGGTTTGACTGTAATTAAACCAGGGTTATGACAACATAGAATTGAAATTTTATGAACAAGTCTTGCTATGAAAATGGCTTTCATTAAATATTCACTGAATTTTCATGAAGTGAAGGTTTCTAGTTTTACAGTATTGCAATACAGTCTGAGCTATTTAGTGTACCACCAAGTAGATACATTATTATACACAATAATTTGATATAGTTTAGTTGATTTTGTTATGTTTTGCAAAATATAGTCTATCCTTAAAAAGCCATAGATATATTTAATTGCACTTTTACTATGAAAATGTCAAGATACATACCAAAACTTAAGTGTTCATTTTGGATCCTAAAATGCACATCATTTTCTAAGATGTTGTGCCCTTGTTAGCCATCTTAAATGGGGATTCAACTTTTTATTTTTCCAAATTTTAGGGGATAGCATTCTTTGTCTCCCCTAATATAATATATCTATATTTTGTGCTGACAAATCGAATATTGTGGACACATTGTTTGTTATGCCCATAGAATGTTCAACGTGCCAACAAAATTTTCTTGAATTCAACATCAATTGGGCAATGTCCTCTTCCCCTTTTTGCTATGCCATTGAAGTCTCCCGTCTTGTATCGTTGCTCTTACATATCCCTTTGGTTTTAAAAGTTGATATTTTCCTTTGCATAAAGTTACGTTTTAAAACTTGTAGTATTGATGGAAGTACTTTGTATTTAGTATTTGATCTGATTTTAGAGGAACATTATGTTGTTTAAACTGCAAATGTATTTTGTACATAATGTTTTCTGATGACTTCTTTCTGGATTAGAGATGAAGAAAGAATGGCCACATTTTAATGATTCAATTGTTCTGTTTTCATTTTGTGTAGTATTGTGTGGTGATTTTGATCATGCCTGTAAGTCAGGTTTAGTTTTGAAGGTGGTGGTGAGTTTATCAAAGTGTATAAGGATATTAAAGAGATATGTGTGTATCTTCAAGTGGATTGAATGGTAATGTGCTCGCTGGAACCAGCCATGTTCCAATCTGTACTTAAGAAAGAAGACAAAAACGACAGCAGCAAGAATTTATTTGTTGACATTTTTATATTTATTGAATGTATCAAAGAAATTCAAAATCACTCCTAAATCCATCAATCCTCTCTCTCTCCTTTCCGCAAATGTGTTATTTTGTTCAAATACACTTGATCCGCGCATGCGCGGGTTATCAAATGTTTATCATGAATACACATTAATGAAAAGAGAGAAAGGGGTGGCTTAGATTTGACGAGCGAAATAAACATTGAGGAAACATTTACTTTCCTACAACCGATCCCAAACAACCTTTACAAGCACACAATTTACATAAATGGAAATTCGGGAAAGATAAAATTGAAAGAGATGAAATGGAAAGATACTGAAAAGACGATGTGGAACTAATGTCTATGCTACAATTAACTTGTGCTACAACTACGCATATCTATCTAAAATGTATGATCAATAGTGACTATATGGTCAAATGTAAATATGAAGATGAAACAAACACAAAGAAGAAAGTTATAGAACATCGTGGTCTCTTAGTACGATACGTGACTCGAATGAGTGGATCTAGGGTTCGAGCCTCCCGTCCTCTTTTCAGGAAATTTCGTTCAGTTTTAGCCGTCGGGTTAAGAATTAAGTTTATCTGCATTACCTCTCTCCACCCCGGATATATTCTTTACATCCCATTCAAAAAATTACAGCTAGTTTTAAAGAGAAATACACCCTTTTTTCAAAGATGACACTATATGAATAGTGTATTACGACCATGAATATCCACGTTTAGTTTTCGTTTACACAAATTAATAGACCCAAAGCACCCGATGAAACTATCTATTAAAAAAAAGTTCTATCAGAAAAAAATGAAACACAATGATCCCGAAAAAAGATAGGACATCACAATATAGGACGAGATGAGTTTATGGTTGAAATGTTCTAATGGAATACAAACATTACATCCGAATACATTACATTATTATATAACCTATCATTATTGCATCCAAGATGGGTTGAAAGCACACGTAAATGAAAATACTAAACTAATACAATTTGTAGATTCAGTAATGTGTTGAACTAGATACATTGAATAATATTTTTGCTCACTAAACCTAGAATCAAATACTCAGAATCAGGAAAATTGTATCCTTGTTATCTTATGAAGAGAAGGGAACTTCGGACACTCGACGATTTGAAGGTAGAGAAGATAAGTGATACGAGAGGATCTAGAGACAGAGACTGAAATAGAGATATATGGAGATAACGGGAGGGGGAAAGGAAATAGAGAGAAGGGGAGAGAAGGAGATAGAGAAAAAGAGAAGGGGAGAAAGAGAGGGAGGGGGTGGATATTAACTTGGCAGAATCATATATCTAAATATCAATCACAATCATAGTTTATATACTGGCATATAATAACACAAATAACGTTTAAATGTTTATTAATCCTTCCCATAAGAAAGGTTTTTTGCGAACAGTGGATTGCATGCCCTTCTAGCACTGCAATGTATTCCGGTAGCAGAGCCTTTCGGTTTGTCTGTTTACCATCATGAATGGCTAGGGATAGGCAATCCATTGTTACGCGACAGAGATGGGTACTGTAATTGAATGGACCACTTTTCAAAACTATTCCTGTTAATTTGCATATTTCAGTCTGTTTCTTTACTATCACCTGTGTTTCAGTCATATATTTTCAATTTGTTTATATGTAAAATTACATTATGATTTTCCATAACAAAAAAACAATTTTGTCAAACTTTAGAAAGATTACGATTTGGGGTAACTTTTTTAATATGGTATTTCTTTATATACCCTAAAACATGTTTTATGAAACTGAAATTACTGTGGTCCTTTTAATCAAACTGTTTATCACTGTCACTGACGACATGATCTTTGACCTTGTCAGAGTTGACTCTGACGTCATGGTGCCGTTGTGGTGGCGGTGGTGTCTCAGAGTTGACCTTGACGTCATGGTGCCGCTGTGGTGGCGATGGTGTCTCAGAGTTGACCCTGACGTCATGGTGCCGTTGTGGTGGCGGTGGTGTCTCAGAGTTGACCCTGACGTCATGGTGCCGCTGTGGTGGCGGTGGTGTCTCAGAGTTGACCCTGACGTCATGGTGCCGCTGTGGTGGCGGTGGTGTCTCAGAGTTGACCCTGACGTCATGGTGCCGCTGTGGTGGCGGTGTCTCAAGGTCGTCAGCTGTCTGAGGGCTGTTCCTGTCACAGTTGACCTTGACCCTGACGTCATGGTGATGTTGTTGTTACTGCTGGGTCTCATGGCTGTCATGATTGAGTGGACGTGGAGGGGGTTGAATGGGAGTTGGACTGCGAGGGAGCGGCGGCGGCGACCTCGCTCTCCTGGGAAGGTCAGCATCACCTGGATCCACCACGGATCCTGCTCAGCTGGGATGATACCCCAGCGAGTGGACGTCAGGAAGCCAAGCGGACCTCCCCGGATCAGCATCAGCATCAGTTCTGTCTATCAGTGCTGACTGCATCTCCCCGCTCTTCCTGTAGTAGTTGTTGTTGTTGTTGTCGCTCACGGCATGCCGCAAGCTCCTCTTCCTGTCAGAGGGCGTTTTGTGGGGCTGGGGTAGGTGTGGTAGATGCTATCGTTGTTGCAGCCTGAAAACGTATGAGAAGAAAAAGACAGAGGAGTATAATTATATAAAGATCATATATAGATAGATAGATAAATAGATAAATAGATAGACAGATAGATAGATAAATACATATAGAGATAGACAGACAGAAAGACAGAAAATAGATAGAAAACTAGATAGAGAGAGATAGATAGACGGACAGATAGATGTAGATACGTACATAGATTTATTCATTATTTTGCCTGATTTTACTGGGAAAGAAAGTCATTTATATCCTTTAACCAGTTTTCCTCGCCCAACATTAACGCTATCATTGAGCTAATAATGAATTATTAACTGATCACATGTTATTTCTCTTTTCTAGGGAGGGGGGATATTTTCCTATCATACCTTCTCTGTTGATGGCATCGCTGTGGTTGTCGGCTCATCGGCTGAACAGTTGCAGGGGTGCCTTCCAGTGTAGGTGGACTCGATGGCGATCTGAATGAAAGGATACCTCAGAGCAGAGTATGGCATAGGGATGTGATATGTCAACTGACCACACCTGCAAGTACAAGAATCTTTCATGATTAATAGAATTCTGACGAACAGCTTTTGAATTGTATTGTCTGAAAAAGAATATACCAACGCAGAAAATGTACGATTCAAGCAGAATTAGCCGGAATCAAATGAGGCAAATGACAAACTATCTATGCAAAAACTTAATAAGCTAGATGGTTCGTTCTTTGTTATGCTTCACCCTTATAAATCGCTAGACTCTTTTTACGTGCAGGACAGAAGACCTGACAGTTGTATTAAAAGAGAAGAGTTCTTTTTAGTGCCTGGATCTGAAACCCCGGTATTGCGGTTTTATTGTGGATATTAAAGGTATGTCTTTGATTTCATTTTTCTTTTCTTTTCAATTATTTTCATTTCAAACATAAAATAAAACAATATAACATGATGAAATGTGCAGCGCATGGTTAATAATCATACACACATTAAACACACTTTCAATAAATAAATGTACAACATGACTTGGATCATAAAGAACTAACAATAACGTAATTATTTCCATAGTGTATACAGTAGGAAAAAGGGTATTTTAAGAAGTAGAAAAAGGAGGAAAGAGGATAGAAGAAGCAAAATTATAAAAAGATGAGGAATGATGATGTAAGTCCGAAGTGACAAGAAGTATAGCCGAGGCACTTTAGACCAACTAATAATTAAGAGGGATGGATATTCTAAATCCCTGGGATTATTTCCTAGGGTGAGAGGTGTCATGGTCTAGTGGATACGACATCGAAATGCGAATCACTTTTGTTTGTGGTTCGAGGGTCCAAGCCCCAGCACTAACGTCCTAATACGGGATTTTAATCTACATTGCCATTCTCCAACCAGGAGATAAAGGATACCTGTCAGGATTGTCGAAAGGCAGTGTTAATGTCATGTACGCATTTGTGTGAACCTTACGAATGGGTAGGAATACTTCCTGAAGAGTGGAGATGGTGCACATTTGAATTCCACATTGTAAACCGCATTGGTGTATTCACGTTAAGCGCTAGTGTAAACGTAATACTAGTATATCATTATCATTATTACTGTATATAGCAGGAGATTATTGCAAATATAAGTATAATATAATCTTGCCTGTCATATATCAAGAAATCGTCCTTGGCTCCGTCAAGGAGGCTCCAGACGTTCTCCTCGGGAGCTGTCTCTGATGAATAATCCTGATACAGATCAAAGTAACCCAACCGATAGAGCCTGTAATAGTTGAGACGAGATCGTAGGTCGCCTGCATTGATCACGATGAAGTTGATGTCGGTGATGTTGTGTTGGGAGATGTACTGCCTGCGCATGACCTCCAAGCTGTAAAGGGGAAAAAACATTGATTACATTTTATGAAATATGAACATAAAACATACAAGAAGAGGCAATATGTTGATTCTATTTGTTTTACATCTTCATTAAGCAATGACTAAATCAATTGACCTACTAACAAATTAATAGCAAGTTGGTTGGCTGTCTGTAAGCATCCTAGTTTGGTAAATCTCCTTAGCTTTAAAATTATGATTAAATTATGATTAATAATGTGAGGGGTGTTTATTTTAGTGATGTTTATATTAGACTTCTTCCATTACGTCATTCACCTTACACTAAATGGAGGAAAACGGGATGGATGCAGGTATTCTTTCTAATTAAAACATAATTTACATTTTTCATGAGGGCACCAGAAACTTGCGGGGCATGTGCCCTTTCCCCTTTGGCTACGTCTGTGATCTAACTTACTAATGGGCCTGCGTCAGGCAGAAACCTCAGCTGGCTTGCAACAGCGCCACCACCGTCACTTGACCTCGGCTCTCCAGCATGGGATGTCTTCCACGGAGAGACCAGCTCGGTGGCTCCATGCACCGTGCAGGTGAACCGAATGGAGGGTCGCTAGCCGACCCCACCCCTAGGTACAGAAGGCAGAGGAAAGCGGCCAGAAGGCCTGGGATGCCTCGGTTCCCCATAGCTGGTGTATAGGGTCTGCAGAAGGGAGAGTAGAGTGGACAATGGCAACAACATTAAATTGTTAATTAATAGTTGACACCTCCAACTGGTAACCAATATTTTTTTTAAAATCTCTGCTGATTACTATTAGAATAATGACAACACCGTAGATAATTATGAAAGTGCTTTATCCGGTATAGGGTACAAGGGTATAATTAAGCTGGTGTACCTCCCCCCCCCCCCCCCCCCCCCCCCCCGTTTGAAAGCTGGGAATGGGGTGAGGGGGGGGGGTCGATCAAACTTGCAATAAATAATCAACAAAATGTTATCAGGAAAGGACACTCCTTCCTAGTCTGAGGGGGAGGGGAAGGGGCGGCACCAACAATTATCAACGTCTGGATACTCTGCTGAATCCTATAGTGTAACAGTTGGTGGAATAGTATAGTTATTCTGCATGACTTATTCTTACATATTGGCCTAGCTTATCCAAGATTACGATCCGAGTTCACTTGTTTGGCGTGGTAATCATTCTAAAAGACCACTGTTCCCAATGTTATATAAGAGTAGGTGCATTTTGCATAATGCGCCGAAACGCCACTATGAAAATTAAAAGCAATACCAAGTAAGTGCACTGTCCTGATTGGTTGAAAGTCAGAATTCTTGTGACTGTATAAGATTTGACCTACAATACTGATTGAGTAGATAATATATCATAAATCAATGCTAAAACTGGCACCTGACTGTTTGAACGGTTTTAATGTGTTTCATAACTTTCATATAACCTCCATGGAGTGAGACTATAGATTGCGAAATCTTGAACCATGCATATTTAATGATTTCACACTCAAACAGCATGTGACAACCGAATAAGTTCATCGTCTCGTAAATCCTTTATTCTCTTCCGCCTCAGCCTCAGGAATCAAAGGTCGCCCATTGTCACGATTGGTTCTGTTAGTTCTGTTTTGATTAGCATGACTTTTAAACGGCAGTAAACTATAAAGACATTAAAGCTAAGCAAATTTTCCTGTTGTCATCGGTTTTAAAGCAAACATCATGGACTATGACTGACCTCGATATCTAAAATGGTATACCCTGAAAGGCTGAAAATACCAGTTTCATAATGTTTTTAACAATCAAAGTACGTATATGTAATAATGGGGCATTGATTATCAAGACATGTCATCATTTTCCTTTAATACTTAACTTTGATAAGTGCAATTAACTGAAACATTAAAAAGGTATATAAGAGAAAATAGACTGATGAAATACGTGTAGGTTAAAAAGAAAGAAACCCATCGAGTGACACAAGAACAGTCGGGGAATGTAAATGTTTTGTTCTAGATAGTTATTAGAAGAGCACACCGAACTTGAACTAGTAACCTCTCGATCTTAATCAGAGTGCAGTCTGAATCACGTGATATTGTCATCATGACCTTCAGTGACCTGATTGTGTTGTATGAGGGCAATTCCAAGGCATCTTGTTCCATAATATTACAGACAAAAGCAAAGATTTAAGTATTTCTATTGATGGTATTAACTTGACATCCGAATACATGGATCAGAGGAAATAATCAGAGATAGAGACACTTTCAATGTTCAATATGTTCTTGACTTGAGAACGCATTTTGGACACGCACACCGTACAAAACTACTAATTTTCTTTAAAACCGCATTGCATTTATTTGTATTTAAGACAATGTTACAGCCATTTAAATAGGAGAGACGAGAATGTTTTTTTTGTGTGACAATGTTTATGTTTTTCAGCAGTGCAGGATAAAAAAGGCTCCCGAATACTGTGTTTACCTGTATAGGCCAATATATTATTCACTACCGTTCATATTTCTTTCAAAATACACATGTACACTCTTTTAATATATAACATATGCTGTCTATAAAACTTGAAAGTATTCACCTTAAACGTAATAAAACGAACAAAAAGACAAACTCTACAAAAGGAAATGTGGGGGAGTACTTTATAGGCAAGGTAACTAAACAGTGGTGCAACAATTGGCAGTTAACAGTTGCCAAATAGTTTACGTTGGTATCATTAAAAAACCTGTTTACTCCCCTTTATAGCGATGCACCATAATGTAATGATTATGTAAATGTGCTATGCACCTGAATATGGGGCTAAGTCAAAATTGAAATGTATTTTTTATTGTCAATAGCGAATTCTTTATTTGTTTGGAGGTGAGATTGTGTTTTGAAGAAATAATAGTGCATTTTACAATATTTCTCTTTTGACTTAGTCCTATATTCAGGTGTACTGCATAGTCCATGATTACATGATTATTACAAATGGGGCATTATTGTAAAGGTGAATAAACAGCCTTTCCAATGATACCAAATTAAAGTATTATATCAAAGACAAAAAAGAGATATCAGCGTTCAAACTTGAATTGCACAACTTGTTTTGAGGATTATATATATTCTGCCTCTTATGACGCAGTCATGAACTTTTCTTTGAGGATGACTATATGAAGTTTGGCAACTACTAATTTTGTCATTCTCATTTACCTTTCAATCGAAATAAAAACGATATCAAAACAGGAAACAAATAATGATTTAATTTTGAACTTACCACCGGGGTGATGTAGAATGTATTTGTTTGTCGCAGGTAGAATCCGAGATTGTTTACCCTCCGTCCACCGCGTAGAACGCGGGATTCTGTTGTGAAGAAACTTTGCTTGGTGGTGTGTACAATGGACCTTCGAGTCAGGTATATCTATATCGGGTTATCGCATTACAAGATTAAAGGTCGGGGATCAGGTACTCAGCTGATAATATGTCTAGATCGACTTGCTTATACATCAAATTATTAGATCTTAACTACTAGCACTTGAACGCACGTTGACTAGGGGTTAAGTACCTAAGGTCTATCGAAGAATTGGAACCCCCCCCTTGTTTCCCCCTTTTTGTTGCGCAGTGGCGTATCCAACGTTGGGCGCAGCTGGCATACACCCCCACCCTTGAAGTCCCAGAAAAACAATCAGTAAACTTTCAGTGGGTCTACGGTAAAAAGGGGTGCCGTATATATATATATATATACCTCTACTTTCCGACTGTCCGGGTGTTTCTGTTTCTGGATATGCCACAGATTGCGTTTCTTAGTGATTTGAATCTGAAGTGTGCTAGCCCCTCGATACAATGATAGAAAACAATGAATACCGGGAAAACTATCATAGTTTTATAACTTTATATCCCTCTCTGATTATTCATTCTCTACCACCTCTAAGAACATGGAAGTGTTTCACAAAGACTAAGATCGACTTCAAGTTTGACTTAACTTTGGCAGGCCGTTCATGCCACTGTTTGCCCTCGCCATTATGATCTTTAGATAATATTTTAATTCAATAATGAATTATCAACAAATGTAAACATTTTAAATGTCCCTTGACAGACAAAATAATGCCAGTAAATGGTGAGAGCAAACGGTGGCATGAACGGCCTGCCACAGTTAAGTCCAACTTAATGTAAAGTCGATCTTAGTCTTTGTGAAACACTCCCCAGGTCTCCCCCCCCTCTCTCTCTCTCTCTCTCTCTCTCTCTCTCTCTCTCTCTCTCTCTCTCTCTCTCTCTCTCTCTTAAGAAGGCTACATTAGTCGTGTTAAACACAATTCGCAAATATAATTTAAAGTAAATAAAACTTCTTTTTTTAAATTCCCTTTTTTACCTTTCTCTCTCTCTTCTCTGTCTCCCTCTGTCACTTTCTCTGTATCAATTTACTCAATGTGCTCTTGTCATCTTCTCTTTGTCAAGACAAAAGTATACGTTCCAAATTCCTACCATTTTAGTACCAAAGATCATCATTCCTTTAAAGCACGGGGTTCCCCGATATGCCCGTTTGACCCAGTTCCTTTGTATGTAAAGCCAAACAGACCCTGGGAACTCAATTTACATACAATGCCATGTTGGCAAGAAAATAACTTTATCAAGGCCACAATCCCAACCAGAAAATGGAAATAACATGTCATAAAGTTTAGGGTTCTATATGAAATATGACAATAAACAAATAAAACGCAACAAAACTATTTGTTAAATCAGACTTAGAGTTTACTTTTGTTTACTCAATCCCGTCTACAAATAATGAAACGGGTGGCGCACTTTAATATTCGAGTCCAGAAAATGCAACATAAAACTATAGTCAAGTACATACAAGTAGTTTGCTATCTAAACTTTTTACAATTCAATTGTATGTTATTAATATAAACATGAAAGGTAAACTAAAAATGGGACTATCACAAAGTATACTTCTGGCTACAATTTAGAGTGACATATTATGTAGAGGGCGAATATATTCCAGTTATATCTACCCTATAAGTAATTAATGAACAGCATAACAAATTACGACATCGCTTCAGATCTCACACAGTTTGGATATTCACTCACTTCTTGAATTTTTCTATTTCTATAGCGCTTAGAGACTTAATAGTAATTTGCGCTATATAAAAACTGAGTATTATTATCATTATTATTATTGAAAAATCTATAACAATGTGCATTTATTTCAAAAAAATAGGAAGACGAATGACACAAACTAATGAATGTGGTCCATTTTGCCTACATCACTACATCTGGGGTATCTTAGACGTTATCTTGGCTACTCCATTGTTGATTAATGTACCACTTAGAATACCGTTGGGATAATTTTGCCACATTTACAAACTAACATCGCGTTGTTTATAAAGGGGTATCTCACTGAAGGACGAATGCTTTCGAATGTAGCGAATCTCTTGGGGTTTTGCCAGGGTTCGAAAAAGGTTGCAAAAGGTTTGTAAAAGGTTGCCAGAAAGTTCGCAAACAGTTTTCGTTGTCGCAAACAGTTTATCATTGGGGATTTATTTTTTCCGCAAACATTTGCAAGCGTTTGCAAAACAGTCGTAAGCCTCTGCAAACAGTTGGTAGACGGTGTCGCCGAGGTTCTTTTTGAGTCGCCAATGCTAGCGACCACGTTACCATATGGTTCCTAACTTCCTATATAAAATCGACCCATTGAGTATACCAGGAGTTAGCAAAAGGTCCTAAACACTCACAAATTGTGGCAAACGATTGGCAAATAGTTGCTAATCTTCGCGAAAACTGTCGCTAACATTTGCCTATATAGAGTCGCTAATATTCGCCAACTACCTTTCGCAAACATTCGCTCAAATGTCGCTAATTATCGCTAAACATCGCTGAAAGTCGCGAAATGTCGTAGAGGCGAACCCTGATTTTCGCCAACATTCGTCAGAAAAGTAGCATTCGCCGCTCAGTGAGATACCACCTTTACACGAACAGCTATTTAAATTTCAGCCATTTTCTTCATAAAAATATTTATGAATTTATTTCAATTTCAATTTTACAAGAAAATAGAAATGTTTTACTTAGATATGGCAAGTGAGAAAAGAGACCAGTACACCAAAACGCACATACTTGTTCTGGGCACCCCTAATATACAATACAACTTAATAAAATAACAAATGAAATTAGATGGCAAGAAGAGGATAAACAAAAAGAAGGGATAGAACCTGTCGATGAGTACATAAAACATTGTATGTTAATACATGTATACTGTACAAGTACGTAAATCATGGAAACCTATAGGGAACAAAGTAAATCATCGCTTCACAAAATCCATTCGGATATAAATATGACATCACCTTGAACCCCGGAACAAAAACATCAAGTTGACAGAAACAAAATAAGACATCCTGACTATCTGAGGTTATTTTGTAAATGTGCATACGCAGTGTTTTCAGAATTCTTTTGCTTTTACTTCATTGTGTCCATGGCTGCTCCACAGTACAATATTATTTTGATAAATCATTACAATCCCGTCTATAGATCTTAATGCTCCATCAACTACGGATTTCTTGTTCTTCCTTCAAGACTTCATACTAGTATGGAAAAGAACTTTGGCTCACACACTCAGGGCCTCGTTGTGGACTAATATTCTAAAGCATACACAAAACAAGACGCCCGCACCCTCCCCCAACTTCATATGTGTTCATGGTTCATTAAGCGTATTGCAAAGACAGAAATGATTGTGCATTTTTCTTTGCGCTATAAATAACAGACAAATATCATGACAACCCGAACAATTGGTGGCGAGACTCTTTTATAAATAGTTTATATTATCAATCGCAACTTATTTGCGATTGATATCAATACGATAGGAGACTGCAAACTTGCGATTCATGGGAGGACTTAATTTGGATCAATAGCAACTCTATAGACAGGGCCGAGAGTAAATAGCGAGCGACCTTTCAAGTTCAACCATTTTTCTACTCTGCATGTAGATGGAATGCAAATTAAGTCCATCAGTTAGGAGGTGTGTGTGTGTGTGTGTGGGGGGGGGGGGTATCATGTTAACAGCTTTCCTTCTCCCATTCCCTATTCCACTTTCTTATTCCTCTGGGATTTTTTCCCCCTTCTAATCTGTTACCCTTTTTCGACGTCATTCGGCATTTTTTGTTTACATAATGCAATCAGCTGTTAGTTCAATGTGTATAACATTCGTTTTGTTAATAGTAGTCTGTAATCCAAAGCCTTTTATTTGGTTATGAAGGTATGAAACGAGCAAATCAACGTTCTGTAATATTTCCCAGTTGAAAAAAAAAGCCAGCCCTTTATCAAATCAAGTTGCTCATATAAAATAGCGCCATCTGGCATGCAAAATTGCTTCGAAACTTTCCGCGATGTAAACCCTGGGAAGAATAAACCCTCTATTCAATGTCTAATAACTTCGTCACACCGTCAAACCGACTCCACACTGACTACAAACCAACAGATGCCTTTTTTTCGTTCGGTCTGTTGTCGGTATTTGGTTGATCTCATCATTGTGACTGGATATTCTTGTCTACGTTATAGACTTTGTATCGCAACTTTCGACTGAGAATGTTAATTAACTCCACATACATTGCTATTTCACAAAAATATAATATTCATAGAATGTGCATCCGAAACCTGTGCATTTTGCTTGAACGATATTTCACAAAAATAACTGAAGTATGATTACGAGTCAATGTGTTTAGCCCGTATTCTACTAGCATTTAAATCCGATATTGGGTTTAATCCTTGTTTTCCCCTTCAAAATCGGGTTTTAAAAAGGAATTTAGTCAGAGGTCTAAGTTCGCCTTTTGATAAATTTGATTTTTCGACCCAGGGTCGCGGATTTAGTTGAATTCGTAGAATACAGGTTCGAACACAGAGCACGGGTCCTGCTCTCTAACTTCCATTTAATAGTGGTATGTTTCATATCAAGTCTCTCCCTATTAATGTTGTTATTTCATTTACTGACTTTTCAGTATGAAGTATGATACTGATAGTCAAACTGCAACGTAAAGAGATAAATATACTAGAAAAAAAATATTTGTAAAGAAAGAAAGGGGGAAAAGAGGAAGAGGGACAGAGAGAAAGAGAGAGAGGGGGTAGGGTGAATGAGAGAGAGAGAGAGAGAGAGAGAGAGAGAGAGAGGAAGAGAGAGAGGGGGAGAGAGAGAGAGAGAGAGAGAGAGAGATAGAGATAGAGAGACAGACAGAGACAGAGACAGAGAGAGACAGAGAGAGGGGGGGTTGAGAGGAAAATGTAATTCTGGATGTTGCCACTGAAACAAAATTCGCGTTCTTAAATTTCAGATATACCACTGCTATTCATTTTTCAAAGAAAAGTTGAAGACCATGTGGAAGAAATATGTATACAATTCACATACTCTTT